TGGGCGGGACCTTGGGAGGAGGCTTGGGAGGAGGACGACAGACAGAGTCCAGGGCGGATCAGACGGAGGGAGGAGCCAGCGAGGAAACAGAAGGGACTTGGAGCAGCATGCGGTGCCAGGTGGGACCCAGGCCATAGCCATAATGGCGACCCATGGTGGAGCCGACGGAGGGAGGAGCCATGGAGGAGGAAGGGCTGACGACTCCAGGGGGCCGACCAACAGCAGTGGAGCAGGTGGCAGAGGAGCCCGAGGTGGAGACGGAGAGCCGATGAGCCGGAGCTGGAGGGACGAAGGGACGAGGTGCAGCCGGAGGTGTGGAGTGCTGGAGTGGAGTGGCGCAGGATGGTCGACGCCAGACCAAGGCGGAGCTGGAGGGATGAGGGAGCCCAGCGGAGCCAGTGGACTGATGGGCCAAGGCGGAGCGGAGGGAGCTAGGAGCCATGGTGGAGCCGCAGGGTCAACGGGCCGAGGCGGAGTCTGGGTCTCAGAGGCTGGAGGCGGAGACCAGGGATTTTGCAGCCACTGTTACGATGGAGGATGGCAAACCTGCGGAGCTCGCATCGCACTGATGGTGGGCCGAGGGCGAGCAGAGGGGCTGCCAAGCGACAGCGGAGGAGGAGGCAGGACTGGAGGGAGGAGCCAGCGGGAGGGCGGGAATTTGTGAGCCTCCGGGCTTTCAGGGTTTAACTCAGGAACGGGAGCCCTCTCTGGGCTGGACGGGGGAACAGGAGCTCTCTCTGGGCTAGACATGGGAACAGGAACTTTCTCTGGGCTAGACATGGGAACAGGAACTTTCTCTGGGCTAAACTCAGGAACGGGAGGGACAGAGTTCACCGACGGAGGAGGAAGAAAAGGGGGCAGGTCGGTAAACAAGTCAATTATGTTTTCCTTAGCTTTGCATTCCCCCAAATCCTTACTCAGCTCACCCTCAGCCACGGTGCAGGGGGCAGAGCTCCTCCACCATTTTCTCCCTCGTGACGAGCTCTGTTGCCGGCTCTCACACCTGGACTGACGTCATGAGCAGCTCCGGCTCCGCGGCGATCTTCAGCTCTGTCGCTCCATGCGGCGAAGGCTCGTCGGTCGCAATGGTTTCGGGCTCTCTGTCAATGGTGGGCTCGGGCTTGAGGTCCGCGTAGCGGGGAGATGGTGGGCTGGGCTCCGGGTCTGGCTTTGTTCCAGATCGGGGGTAGACAATCTCCAGACATCGGATGATTGCTTCCCTCCAGCTCAGTCCAGTGGTGTCTGGGAGGTCGATGGGGCGATGGTAATTTGCCCCGAGCTTGCTGAACTCAACCACATACCCAAACAGGGGCAGGTCCTTACGGGCGAGGGAGGTAAACTTAGCGGCGAGGGGATCCATGGAAACACGGGGAAAACCGAAAACAAAACACTGTAAAAAACTCGGAAACACGCAACTAACTGTATTTGGTCGGGTCTTCTGTTACGATACGCTGTCGGAAGGAACAATGGAGACGCAAAGTTGAATTAACAGTCTTTAATCATGGAAACACAGGGGATAATCCACATCAGGAACAGGGGTAAACGCGTAATCCAACATGTAGACCTGACAAAGACAGAACGCAAAGGCTGAGACTTAAATACATGGGGTAATTAGAACTAATCAACAAGACACACCTGAATCAAATGAACCATCAATGAGAGGGAGAAACTGGGTCACGGAGCACATGGGGAGGGAAAACACAACAAAGACAGTCCAGGGGCGTGACAATTAAAGGATAGATCTTATGTAAATGGAATAATCTGACAATTTGTTCGCCTCTTTAAGTGACTGATTCAGAATAAAAAAAGCAACTGAATGCATTGTTAACTATGAAGAAAATTAAGAGATCAATCATGTGTAAATACTTTAATCAATTGAATTTTAACTTCTGAGTGAACATTTTCTGTTCAAATTCTTTTTAGCATTTGGTTTTGGATGGAATGAGTAAAATTAGAGCTTGGAAAATCAAGCTTGCAAATTTTGCAATCAAGCTTACCCTGGATAGACTTGCAAATAGACTTGCAAATAACTGTGATTCAGACAAACAGCTGTTCAGTAGCACAACACCATCGCTCAGGAGATGAATCAATGAATCAGAACAAAAACAACAGAAGTTAAGGGGAATCCACCTTGCAACAGAAAATGACTGTTCTTCATCAGTAGTTTGGTGCAGATTTTGACCGAGTTTGCTTGTGTGGTTCTGTGTTTTTACAGATCTGATCTCTGATATGCTGGGCTCTGAGAAGTACAAGCTATCTTGGCAGATGGTTGTGGATTCTTTTCAGGACCCCACCATAAACAGGTGTGTTATATATATATATATGATATAATATATTATGAATATAAATATGAAAATTTATTTATTTCGTATTTACTAATTAATTACATTTCATATTTAATTAAATTAATGTATTATTTATTTAATTCCAGTAATTTAATTATTATTATTAATGTATGAATAAATGCACTTTAAATGTATTTATTATTAATTAATAAATGTATTTTTATTTTATTTTATATGTGTGCTTTTGTATAGTTCATTTCTAAGTTCGCTGAATTTTAAACTGTTTTCTGGAATTTACAACAGAATGCATAATTCCCGATATTTCATAGAAAGTGAACTTGAATCTGAATTCACGTTTATGGCCAGATTTACTAACAGCTTGCGGCAGCGCAAACCGTCTTTTGGCGTATATATAATATATTCAGGATTTACTAAAGACGCGCAGTGAAGAATTAGCGCTGAAAACGCGTGGACACAGTAATTTTTGCGCCTGACCTTATTGAATATGCATTTGTAGGAGTCAGGGGCGCCATAAGTGGGGGAAGGTTAGGACGATTCTAAGGGCCCTACGATGGAGGGGGGCCCCCGAGGGAGAAACGCGATTTCTACGAGGGGAACGCGATCGCGATTTCTACCGAGGGGGATCCCCCCTGAACGTGATTTACCAAGTGGAACGCGGAACGTGATCTGTAACCGTAGTGGTGCCCCTGTTAGGAGTTTCCCTTTCAGATGCAAAATTTATGGGAGGAGAGTCTTAAAATGAATCACGTAGCGCAATTTACTAACGTTTGCGCTTGCCAAATTACTGGTATTTGCGCCATTATTTAACGCCCAAAAAAAGCATGTCTTAAACTATTTTGCACTTGAAATGGTAGAAGGGAGAGGATTTTTTCCCACATGTATTAATTTGTTTGGAATGCCAGAAAAACACATGATCTGAATCCGAACATATCCTTATGCTAATTTGCACTGCGCTTGGTAGATTGCGTTGGTCATTATGGAAATGAGATGTTGCTTCTGTTTCTTTTATTTGCGCATTGTCAGTATATCACCCGCAGAAATTTCCACGCCCATCTGCGCTGTTTTGGAGCTGTGCTCTTGTACTAATTTGCCCTGCTTAGTAAATCTGTCCCTTAGTGTGATGATTTGCATTAATTTTTACTGTCATAGAGATTATTGAGCTTGATATTACACTGCAAACATTTATAAATTTGCTTCAAAACTGTGCTTTGAATTTTTGAAATTGCAAAGTAATGCTATGAAAGTAAAATTCCCATGGGTCTTGATAATAAAGTATCTGTGTGCAGGATGTAGCTGTGCTTGTGACCTCCTGTGACTGTTTATTTTTTGCAGGCATCTTGTGTACTGCATCTGGGATCTGCTAATCGAGTTTCTCGTCCCTGAGGCGTCTGATGAGGACTTTCAGAAAACACTTCTGCACAGCCTGTCCAAAAACGCTGAGAAGCTGCCACCATAGGTGTGCTGGGGGCGGACTGGAGACACTAAACACACTTGCATATATACATACATATATATACATACTTATCACATACGAACGTGTGATAAGTTAAAGTGTTAGGCAGGAATATGTAATCAAGAAAGTGTGGATTTGGATTCATGACAGCCTGTGTCTGGCACCAATTTGGTCTCCCTGTTTCTGGGACACATGCGCACATCCGGGCAGGCATTGATTAATGGCCACCTGTTTTGTGTTTTATCAAACCACAAGTCCAATCTCTAAAGCCCGACATGCCGGATCTGAATTAGTCGCAAGTTCTCCAACTTTTATCCACCTTGTTCCCGCTTCAGCTTTGGGCAAAGCTCTTACAGATGGACTGCGCAGATCATTTCTGCACCATCCTATTATGTGTTTCCAGCCTTTCAGTCTTGATATACCTTGACTTTACACACATTCCCTTCTTGTGCACATACTTGATCATTTTGCAGAGATGCTTTAAGAGGCTGTATCGACCTTATCTCTCGAAGTAAGAAAGCCTGTTTTTCCACAAGTTTCCTCTTTAAGTATGAAATTTTTCACATCTGCGTCTGGTGTCACGGTAATGCTGTACGTGCTTTGTGTGCTTTCAGCCAACTTGTGAAGCCTTTAAATGTAATTTCTCTATTCACAACCTCTAATTAAGTGGTTAGATGCCTCTGTGGAAAAAGAAAAGGTCATGTTGATTCAGCAAAAATGGCCAGTTTTCAGCATTTGTCTTATTTACTCTGTTATTGAAGTATGCATATAAGTTTTCTTAAAGAGATAGTTCACCCAAAAAGGACATTCCAATCCTGTATTACTTCTTTTTTGTGGAATATAAAAGATTTTTTTGAGATATGTCTTTTTTTTACCCTTATAATGGAAGTCAATAGTCACCAAAACTGTTTGGTTACCAACATTCAAAAAATGTCCTGTGTTTTGCAGCAAAAAGTCATACAGGTTTGGCAACAATTTTTGGGTGAACTACTCCTTTAAATATGTTTATTTCTTCTAACAAATAATAGAGTATTACATGGTTCTGGTTTACTTATTTTCTTAGAATTCTAGCAGAATGAAATGATGTCTTAATTGCCTTAATGTGTATAACAAACAAAACTATCAAATGGATGCACATGTAACTCTTAAAAAGTCTGAAAAAAGCCTTGTCATTCCTTGAAGAGAGTTCACCCAAAAATAAAAATTCTGTCATTAATAATAATGTCGTTCCAAACCCGTAAGATCTTCATTCATCTTCAGAGCACAAAGTAAGATATTTTTGATGAAATCCGAGAGCTCTCTGACCCTGCATGTAATGTAACTGAAATGTTTCCAGACCCAGAAACGTAGTTAGGACATTGTTAAAACAGAAGCTACAAGAATACTTTTATGTGCAAAGAAAACAAAAATAATGGGCCTCATTCATGAAACACGAGCAGAACGAATTTTTGTGTAAAATCGTTCGTAAAGCCGTTCTGACGTAAACTTTCAAATTCATGAAAATGTTCGTATTTTCAAAATGTTAGTTGGTACGAAAGAAATGTACACCTGCTCCCTACCACGTGTAAATTGTGCGTAAAACGTTCTGTGTTCTTTTTGGCAAACTGATGACACTGAATTTCGATGCACTGCCATAATAATTACAAGTTCAATTGCCCTTGCCCTCTTTTTGAATTTTAATTTTTTATTAATTAATTAAAAATTGTTTTTTTTTTGCAGCTGAGTTGATCATTGTAAAACGCAGCGCTCGTCACCGTCACTATTTACCCAGCCGTAAATAGAGGAGGGGCGGGAGTCGGGACAAAATACCGAACCATCCTACTTGTACAACGACTGCCTACAACGATGGAGAAGTCAATATTACTGGTTACTGCTTTATTATATTTAGTAAAATTCTTAAAAATGAGATACTAGTAGGCTAATACGTTGCCGCCGTTAATATTCCATACCATAGCAACTAAAGCATCTCAGCTGGAAAAACGCTGACCAGCTGGTCATTTTAAGAAGAGCGCCTGACATTTTTTCAGCTGGCTAAAAACTCTTTGGTGGTCACACACATTATTGAATATTTATTGTTAGGCATATGGCCTAGTCTTTTTTGCATTTATGCAATATACTGAAGCCAAACCTGAGAAAGTAGACCAGAATATTCCACTGCGTTCCAGGACACGCAATTTGCGTAGCTGTCATTTATAGGCGGGGATTATGCTAATTGTGAATGAGCGTGCACGAGCGCCCTATTACTAATGATTGGAATTCATTACCATACACACGTTTAACTATCAATCGGACGTTTACGAAGAGTCTGTGAATCCGGAGGAGAGTTTTCGGGAAGGTCTGTTTTACGTGCAAATTACTCCGAATTTACTCATATATTTACGCAAGTTTCATGAATGAGGCCCATTGACTTTATTTAACAATTCTTCTCCAAATCACGTGCTCCACAATTATAGAGAGTACCTCTGCACGTAAACAGCACATGCGCGTGATGCTGCTGCCATAGAACACGCATGCTCTGCACCTTGTTTACGTGCAGAGGAACACACGTCAATATGTCATGGTACTCTTGATAATAGCGGAATACGTGATTTGGAGAAGAATTGTTAAATAAAGTCGTTATTTTTGTTTTCTTTGCACACAAAAAGTATTCTCGTAACTTTTGAAACACTGATGTCACATGGACTGTTTTACTGATGTCCTTTCTATGTTTCTGGGTCTGAAAACATTTCAGTTGCGTTGCTTTCTATGGAGGGTCAGAAAGCTCTTGGATTTCATCAAAAATACCTTAATTTTTGTTCCGAAGATGAACGAAGGTCTTACCGGTTTAGAACGACATTCGGGTAGTTAATGACAGAATTTTCATTTTTGGGTGAACTATCCCTTTAATAAAATGTGTAATTAGTTTCCAAATCTTAAAAGTATTACTGTCAAATTTTTTGATTAGCATTAATATGTCATCTAGTCACCATTCCGCTTGCACAAACTACCTAGTAGTTGCGTAAAATGGTCTTGTCCTTTCCGTATGTGATGGCTTGAGCTCAGTGCATGCAGATTTAGATTGAGGTTCTGCACTGTGAGCCCTGTTGCCCAGTATGCATTACAGTGGCTTAATGGCTTTGTTACACTGTACTTGTGCTTAAAGCGCTGAATGTTGCACTATTTGTAATTTTGTAAGTGATTTGGTCATGTATGTTGTAGGTCTTATGTTGTTCTGATGTGTACTGAAATTATAAAGCAGTTAATGTTGTCATTGAATTAAGACGAGATGCATTTTAAAATGTCACTTATTTTTGAAGTGCTTTCAGTTTCGGTTAGCACGTTACACTTGTTTGTATTAACTTATTCAAACTTTAATGTGATTCAGTTTGCATTTAAAACAGGAAAACAGCTGGTACCAAAAAAACAAAAAAAAAACATACTAAGATATATATTAAATGATGCAAACAAATCTACCAAAATGTGGACAGAAACTGTTTCTGCTTCTTTTGGTCACATTTAGTCATGTTTAGTTCAAGTAGATTGTGTTTTGTTCAAAATTTTGGATTGCAATTTTTTTTCCGGCAATATGATTTATGGTTGTCAGTAATACACGAGCCTCACATGTTTTGTCAAATAGCTTAAGTTGAGTGAAACAGCACTTCTCAATTAAAATTATGTAATAAAATCACAAAAATTTTTTTTCATTCTATTGGAAGCATTCTGAATGAACATAATTTGGTAGCACTTTATAAGGAAACCTGATTTGAACAGCTGATTTGAACATTCCATTGACATGCTGTTACCTTTATGTACCTGTCAATCTTTTATTTAATTTCATCCAGTTAATAAGTTTTTTCTACTATTGAAGTGAAAACATCAGTGCGTCATCATGTTAATTCACATGGTCAGTTGAAAACAAGGGAAAGTGCTTGCCAAAACGCTTCACATGCTAAATCCTCCTCATGCTAAATAATCCTGCACTGCTGTTCCATGATATGAGATTACAAGCACAGACAACTTGGAGCTAAACATCCAGATTTCCTAGAATTTAGTGGAAAACATTTCAAAACCTTTGTTCGAAGTTTTTGCCCTTGGAAAAAAGGTCTATCTCCAAAGTCAACAGAAATAGATTAACAAAGAGACGTTGGATTATTGAAATCAGATCAAGTATCTGGGACTAATTTTGGAGGTCGACAAAATGAGTTTGGCAAGTCTTAAGAGCGAGTAGTCATGACCTTTTACCTTAGAGATCACTGATGTCTGTCACAACAAAATACAACCTAATAAATCCTGCTAATGCATCACTATACCAGTCACTGATGAACAGAGAAACATCTGCAGCTCTATCTATCTATCTACACTGAACAAAATTATAAACGAAACACTTTTGTTTTTGCCCCCATTTTTCATGAGCTGAACTCAAAGATCTAAGACTTTTTCTATGTACACAAAAGGCCTATTTCTCTCAAATATTGTTCACAAATCTGTCTAAATTATCTATCTATCTATCTATCTATCCGTCTATCTGTCTGTCTCTGTCATACTATCTGTCTGTCTGTCTGCCTGCCTGCCTATCCGTCCGTCCGTCCATCCATTGTTGCATCCACCCGTCCGTCCATCCATTGTTGCATCCACCCGTCCATCCATCCGTCCGTCCGCCTGCCCGCCCGCCCGCCTTTATTGCATGATATCAAAAGGAAACCCTTTAAGCGGTCAACATGCATGACATCATTTGGTGTACAGGCACCAAACATCATTACACATTATGTAGCCCTCTCTTATACTTGCATAAGGATCTAAAATGTCTTTAACTGTCTAACCCTGAGTGCCACTGGCTCACTTACAGTTAGGCTGACATATAAACAGGTCAAGTGCTCTTAAAAGGACACTGACACTTAGCTGGAAATAACAGAAATAAATGGAATTTTAAAAGATTAATGATCCTTAAATTCTTGTGTGTTTTATTCAGGAACTAGTGATGTTGCTCTAATGGACAATAAAAAAAAAAAAAAAAACAGTAAAACTCCCCATGCTTAAATACGAGCAAATCAAATGAGCAGGTCAAGTGCTTGTTTATATATTCGTTTTGTGTGTGTCTATTTAAAGTATTTAAAGTAAACACATGTGACATGTAAATACAAACTAACAATTTCAATAGTATCCCAATTAATTTGCTTACAAAAACCTTAAGCCATGTTCTTTTGACCCATGCACTGTGAAATGTTTATATGCCAGTACATCCCCACAAGCAGTTCCTTCAAATATTGGGAAACACTCAGCAGAGTATTAATACCGTGATGTTAGACCACAGAGCACAGGAATGTTTCCTGAGGTGCTACAGATCTGGATCTGCACACTTTAGACTTACTCATCAGTGACGTCTTGCTCAGTGGAATAAACAGACCTGTCATGAGGAGCACACTGTCAATATCCAATGTCCACATTGACAAATAAAACAGTTATGAACTAGTTTCTGATGGAATTTGTGTGGTAATGTGGCCCAGTCTCTAAAAATCTGGCCTTGTTACTGAATGATTGTAGGTTCAACCCCTATAAGGTGCAAAACACAAACTGTCACAACTGTGTAAATAAATAAGCTGTTCTTTTCCATACAATTAAAGTCAACGGTGAGCAAAAATTACTTAGAGGTAAAAAAAAAAAAAAAAAAGAGAACCAAAGGTTTTTTTTTTCAACAAAGAAACTTGTTGTTTTGAACCCCATTGACTTTGATAAAAATGGTTAAAACATTCTTTAAAATACACTACCATTTAAAAGTTTGTAGTTGGTATGTTTTATTTTTTTTATATAATAATTGTATATAATATAGTATCTTATGCTCACCAAGACTGCATTTATTGATCAAAAATACAGTA